TGTTAAAAACTCAATAACCCAAGATGGATCTTGCAACACATTATCTAGACCATCCATCTTCAAGATTTTCGAGTGTTTGTAGATATGCCCCATCTACATGGTTTTTCAAATTTTAATATTTATAATTAGAGGTGAAAATAGATTTTTTGATCATCCTAAGAATTACATCTTTCGATAAAGTTTGGAGGCGTGCCTAATGCCCTCTTTAAAAATATCATTTACGAAAAATAAAAAGAAGGGTTTATTACTTGTTCCTCCATAACATTCACGTTGTACTTGTGAGAAATGCCCTCATCTTTTTTACACAAAGTCTATTATGTTCTTTTATGTGAAGATGATGTTGAAGTTAACTCAAGCCAGCATCAACTTTCTTATCATTCAATTTTTAGTAATCTTTCGAAGAGGAGAGTAATTTTTGTTTTTGTTTTTTTTTTTTTTTTTTGACCAATAAGAGGAGAGTAAGTTGTTAATAATAGTTCCCACTTGGATATGCCTCTAATTCTTCTCAGATCGTTTACATTCATTATAAGTTGCAAGTCATATGGCTGATTGAGTATAAACTTATTTTTTGTGCATTTAAAATCCAAGTAATTTGAGAGAAAAAAATCCTCGTCGTACATGATTCCTCCACTTGATACTTGGCCTCCAACTGGTTCCAAAGTTCTATTGCTAAAGTAAGCAAAGAATACACATCATAGATTGGATTAATTACCATATTAAAACCATTTTTGAAGTGTGGTGGCGACTCCAATGTTAATAAGAAAAGGCATGGTTCACCTTAAGTATTTTCAACAAGATATTTGCGTATGTATATCTATATTGAAATACATCATTATGAATACATATTGAGATATGTATATGTATGGGTATATATCTCTTAAGTGTCTCTTGATTATGATAAGATTAGTTAGTAGTTATCTATAACCGTTGGTATTTATCTTTAATTATTACTGGCCGTATACTTATATGGGTATTGTATATTATTTATGAATCAATCAATAAAGACAGAGTTCTCTGCAGTATTCTAAAATAATTTTTCATGGGGGCCTAATTCCTAAATATACATAAATACAGTTTTTAACATGGTATCAAAGCATTGATATGTCTTCAATTTGTTTTCTACTTCTACAAGAAGCCTAGTTTATCTCTCTAGAAAGGAACTCATGAAGTTGGGTTTCTTTATTTTTATTTCTTTGGCAGCTACACCTTTTATTTTATTTTTTTATTTCTTCATATCAAACTCCGCCACTAGAGGAAACAAGATCGAGATACTCCATGCCACTTGAGCCCTTATATCATCCTTTTGGGCTTGAGACCCATCTATGCAGAACAATTTTGGAAACTTATCTTTCGTTTTTGTTTTGCTGTGGATTTTGATTTGATGATAGAGGAAAGCTGGTGCCAATTTTTGCTTGCAAATCTCCTTCAATGTTTTTTTTAAGAAAATCTCCTTGCAAGCAATTCAATAGCTCATGCCTACTTTTTACGAGCAATTCTCCATCAATTATTTTTTGCAAGCAAATCTCTGCACAGTTCAAAATGATTTGTGTGCGTCTCAGCAAAGGCTTTCTATTGACAATCTCAGTCAACAAACTGCTGTACCAATTTGTATGCACCTTTGTCAAAGCAGCTATGTGAATTCTTAGCTGGCTGCAGATGTATTTGCTGCCCACAGTCTTCATCCACCTCTAAAAATGGCCTCTAATAATGGTTGATTTGCACTCTTTGTCGAGTCATTCTTTGACTCTCTGTCGAGTCTTTTTTCGACTCTATGCAAAACAACATTTGTCTTTGTTCTAAACTGTGAGTTTCTAAATATATCTCAGATCTACATCGAGTTCTGTTGGCTATTCCAAGTATCATTCTATGCTTGTTCTTCAAGCATGACTACTACTTCCACTGCTTCTATTGGTCATGCCATGCACGTGAAGACTTATAGATCTAACTCGTTCGTTTATGCAACTTATTGTTCAAACTCTAGCTGCTTTGTGTAAAAGTATATTGAGTTTGAAGGGGAGTATTAGCGTATGTATATCCATATTGATATACATCATTATGAATACATATTGAGATATATATATGCATGGGTACAAATCTCTTAGGTGTCCCTTGATTATGATAAGATTAGTTAGTAGTTATCCATAACCGTTGGTATTTGTCTTTAATTGTTACTATCCATATATTTATATGGGTCTTGTATATTCTTTATAAATGAATCAATAAAGAGAGAGTTCTCTGCAGTATTCTGAAATAATCTTCCATGGGAGCCTAAGGCCCAAATATACAGAAATACAGTTTTTAATATAAGAAAACCAATTTATGTTCACATATTTTGAAGTTGATATTGTCAACTGATCAAATTTCATCAATGAAATCTAATTACCCAAAAAAAAGGAGGATGAGGATCTATGAGTCAGCTGACTCATATGTACACATGTGGCGCCCCTCTAAAATTCACCTTGAAGGTGGATTTTTTATCCAAAATTTTAGGGATTCATCATCTAAGCCAAGCTGATCATAAATATAAGCAATAAAAATAAAATAAAAAGATTGAACTTTAAAATGTGTGTGTTTCGGGGATGTTTTTGGCACCATCCATATTTGATTTCACCCCATGAATTTTACACAATGTTCATCTTAAAGATGGATGTTGAAGAGTCAGTGGGCTCTTGCACCCACTGACTCATGAAGCAATTTTCCAAAAAAGCATCCAATAAATTCCATATTGAGGGTTGAAACCCAACTTACCTACCAAATAAAAAGTTATGGGGATCATGTTTCTACATACTCATTGGCAATGTATATACATGGTCCGGATGCTCCGTGGATGCTTGAGTGGGACATGCAATTAAATGAGTGATACATTGGGCTGGCGTCGAGGATCTCTATTCGTTTCCGTCATCCATGATTGGATGGTGATGACCCTTATGGAGATAGTTAATGCAGTCATGACCACATATTTCATGGGTCATGTGGCTCCTAGTATAAAAGATGTACTGCATTTGGAGGACATTGAAGAGAAAATATGTTCCCACAGGAAAAACAAAAAAAAGAGGTCGTTAGCCCAAGTCGGGTACTACTGAAATATGACCACAAATATTACCGAATGAAAAATATCCAATAGCAAATTTATCGATTAATTCCCATAGCTGAGCTACACGATGCTTCATTTGTGGGAGAAATAGGTAGAGAAAGTGCCACTCCCACCGTAGCTGAGCCACAACATGCTTCATGATGGGCCCAATGACTGAAATCTCACCTCTTCGATTGCTGGTCCATGCTTAACTCTGTCAATGGAAGTTGGGCCCATTATCACTTTTTCTATTTCTTGGGTAGGTTTGGCAGTATTCCAAACTTAGATCGATGACGTTGAGGTTCTTTTGTTAACTTTGAACTTGTGGTTTCAACGAGAAAGAGAGACAGTAAGATTGGCTCTGGAGCAGCATGAAAAAGCATCAAAATGGAAATAAAACAAAAACAATTGTTTTTTTTAGAAAAGGTTAAATTAAGACATAAAAATAAATAAAATCTCACTTCAAAACCTACTGAAAATTGGCTTCAGATATTAAAAAACTTTCAAATCGATCATCTCGACCTTGACCATTGTAGTTGTAAAAAACTTAGGATTGTAAACCCTAAAAATAGTGTATATTATAACATATTATCTAGACGGCCTTTTTTTTAAGTGCTCATGGCTACAAGATTCATAATTGGTAATAGAAATAATTTTTAGAGCTACTATGAGGATTTCTTATGACAAAAGTGTATTCTAGATGAAATTTCAAAATGAGGATTTACTTCTTTTTTTTTTATAAGACTTGGGCTTTGCAAAAACTGCATCCTTTTGTTTTTGTGGCCAAGTTCTCATAGTCATGGGATACGGGGCACCAACATCATAAAGAGTACCCTTGTTGCAACAGCATAAATTGTGAAGCAAAAGGAGTGAAAGAGCCCCACACCACCTACACGTAGAGTACATGGCTATTCCTGTTGGCGCATTTGGTTACTTGGAAATAGATCTCTTCGCACCTACGTACGTGCGATTTCGTGTACTACGTTTTTTTCATAGCTAACACACCTTGTAGTTATTTTTGCGCTTCTAAAACGAGGGCTTTTATATTACAAACAAAGCCCCTTACGATTGAAAGTCTTCCTAGCTTCGCTAGTCGGTGTAACGTGTAAAGCCTCCAAAGGGAACAAGCAAAACCCCAAGCACGTTGAGCATAGCGAAAACCAAGCAATAGAAGAGGGCGCTAGTGCGAAAGCCATTACGCGGTAACGCAGATGTTTTTTTGCTGCGACGGAGGAAGCGTCAGTTTATTTTAAACATTTTTTGAAGAAATGTCAGTTCCACCAAAACCAAATTAGATAGAATTAACATTTCCAGGAACTAGAAAGAGAGCCATGGGACCCAAAAATTGGGATCAGATTATTTTAAACATTTTTTGAAGAAATGTCAGTTCCACTGAAACGAAAATAGATAGAATTAACATTTCCAGGAACTAGAAAGAGAGCTATGGGACCCAAAACTTGGGATAAGTCATATTTTATAAAATGGGTTAAGGTTGCTATATATATTATATTGTATATAAATAACTTCTGGGAGACATCCTCCGGGCAATCCAAACAGTGACAAGCATCTTTCAAATCACTTACTAGATGTTATCCAAATAGTAGACACCTATGTTCTAAGAAATGAGAATTCTAAAAGATGTCAATCCCAGAAGATGCATCCCCCAGGAATATCCATTTTCAAGGAACCAAATGGGCAAACATCAGTGGTAATATTAAGAGGCAAGACGGCTTTGTTGACACAGCTTTTTGGTGGGAATTACAAAGCAAGAGGGATAAAATCTATATCCACAATTCTAAAATTCCCTAAGAAGCCCAAAAAGACCTACAAGAAGGTGATGCTCGATTTGGGATGAAAAACATACGAGAAAGCTCCTGAAGGCCACGATGCAATGTCCCTAGTAACAATTATACATTAGAACAATTACATACAAAACTTTCTTCTGTTGCAAAATTATTATAGAACAGATTGATAAAAGAGCATATAAAGGGCATATAAATAGTTGCGAGTGTTCTTGATCTGACCAGGGTCAGACAGAAGCAGAACATACAACCAGGTTCAAAGAGTCACTCATTAAGAAAAAGTCCTCACCTTATTCCAAACTCTACATTATAGCATGTCACCATATGCCCATACAAAACTCAACAAAAAGTTCACACAAGTCCTCAACCAAAAATCCAACAGAATCAGAACCAAAAACATAAGGGGGAGGGAGAAAAAGTTTCTTCCCTCACGCATCGTCAAGAGCCAAAACCCCAGGAAGAGGCTTTCCTTCCAACAACTCCAAGCTGGCGCCACCCCCTGTTGAAATGTGGCTCATCTTATCTGCCAACCCCGCTTGCTCCACAGCTGCAACCGAGTCTCCCCCACCAATGATCGTGGTCACGCCTTTTTCACTAAGTTCAGCCAACTTCTTGGCAATAGCCTGAGTACAATTTCAAGTTTCTCGAATTACTTCAATTTTCTGTTGTCCAAATTCTTAAAGATCGACAAAGAAAACACAAGCATTGAAAATAGAATTGGAGTTTAAACCAATGAAGAGTTGGCGATTCTGGTCCCCGCCAGTTTAAACCAGTATCAAAATTGAATTTGAAAAGGGAAAATAATGTATTTTGTTGGGTTTTGTTTTTTGGCTAAGCAAGCCCTTAGTTCATTAGATCTGCTGGGTTCAATCCCTTAGCTCAATATGAGGACACCTATTATTATCAAGACAACGAAGCTGTAGGTTTGAACTCAGCTTAGCTACTGCAACTCCCCGCCATAAAAAATTATTCAGGGTTTCATCTGCATTGTTCAACAAATGGTGCCCAGCAGTTTCAAACGAGTTCGAGCCTGGTTCAACCACTGTCAATTTTACTAGTTTTAGGTCAATCAGACTAGATGACAGGCTGGTTCCAGGCCAAACAGGTCAAACTAGACAGTTGAGTCCACTTTCGAAGGCATTGAAGAAACTCATGTATGTTTTCTCTGTCTTTTTTATTGGCAAGTAAAACATTGTGTTTTTTACATTTATACTCCTTTTCCCTCTTGATAATTTCGTAAAATATGTGATCAATGACAAACAGAAGAAAACGATCTGTCACAAATGTATACTGTGGCCCTTTCAGGGAGCCCCATTTTTGTAAATACCTCCTGAAAATTTCGGGTTGCAATTTAGTACTCTCTCTTTTCTTCAATACAAAATTAACGTTCTCAAAAAAGAAAAAAAAGAAGTGATGTTATGTACCTTTGTTCCAGCTGCAAATTTTTCAAACTCAAAAACTCCCATAGGACCGTTCCAAATGATCGTCTTTGCGGGCTCCAAAGCATCATTGAATGTCTTGATGGAGTCAGGTCCGATATCCAATCCCATCCAACCTTCAGGAATTTCAGATGCTGGAACAACCTGCACCCAAACCATCATTTCCATAAATTCAAAGGCAATCTTACATGATTATGTGGTCTTTCCCCTTTCTAGCTTTCTGATAGATTATATTTATGTACTTGTTATTTTGCTTCTCATTTTCCTGTCAGGGTGTTTTAATGTTTGAAAGTGCAAGAAAAGCTGACCTTGCTTTCTGCATCAGGTGCGAATTTGTCAGCAACAACAACATCAGTGGGCAGAAGTAGTGCGACACCCTTGGCCTTGGCCTTCTCAAGAAGAGAAGTGGCAAGGTCAAGCTTATCCTCCTCCACAAGTGATGAACCCACCGAAAACCCTTGAGCCTCGTAGAATGTGAAGATCATCCCTCCACCCATCAAAAGGATATCACACTTCTCCAGCAAAGATTCAATCACCCCAATCTTGGTTGAGACCTTTGAGCCTCCCACTATGGCAGCAAATGGCCTCTTAGGGTTTGAAACAGCCCCAACAAGATAATCAAGCTCCTGCAATAAGCACAGATGTTTCACAAGAAAGAGTTCAGAAAAATGGAAACACTCACCATAAACAAAAGCTTTTTAACGCGATTTTTTCCAATTTTCAAATTGAATAGAAACAATGTGTTGGTGACCCAGCTTTAGACACAATCTAGCAAAATACCAATAAAAGAAATAGACATGCTGGAAGAAAGTAAGAGAGGAAACAAAGCAACGAAAAAGCTTTGAAAATTATGAAATTCAACTAGCTTTTGTGTTATAGGTAAAGAATTGAAGCCCCATAAAGGGTACCTTCTGCATAAGGAAACCAGCAACAGCAGGCCTGAGGAATTTGGCGATACCCTCTGTGGAAGCATGTGCTCGGTGTGCAGTCCCAAATGCATCATTGACATAAAGGTCTGCCAATGCGGCAAGCTTCTTTGAAAACTCGGGGTCATTCTTCTCTTCTTCCTTGTAAAACCTCACATTTTCAAGAAGGAGGACACCCCCTTCAGTAAGTGAAGCCACCAATTTCTCAACTGCTTCTCCAATACAGTCATCAGCCGTCAGGACCTAGACATTGATTCCATATGTGGGTATCATGGAAGCAAATAACCAATTGCACAAAATATGTTGAAAGCATCAGCTGAACTCAACAGAACAAGAAGGAACATACCGGGACACCAAGAAGTTCAGATAGTCTAGGAACAAGAGGCTTCAAACTGTACTTTGGAGTTACACCCTTGGGGCGTCCCTGAAAACAAAGAATAAAATATTTTAGATAAAAAACTTCCATTTCTAATAAAACTTTCATTTCTAATCAAATACCATTGGAACTCAAAGAGAAACCAAAATAGAACAAGTGAAAATGAACAGGTTATGAGGCCATTGGAAGCTCTGGTTATTGGTTAAAATTCAAGCCATATTCACTCTAGAAATTCTGAAACCAGAGAAATATTAAGAATTCATGTAAATCTAGAGAATTACAATATAAATTCTGTACTCATTTCCAATGTAAGTGGCATTTTCTACTAGACAAACGAAGAATGAACCTTGGTAAAATATTGTGGAAAAGAAAAATGAAAAGAGTTTCATGTTGAAAGTCTGTAAAGATATGTATAATTTGCAGTTTTGCAGCAGTCAAATGGATACAAAAGGTACTTCATATACAAATTTGTTGCTCAACTGGGCTTTGGTCCTAACTATAAGATAAATTCTATGTGCAAGCGACAGTTAACAATTTCAAAAAAATTATCTGTGCAAGGGAGTAAAAAGGGTTTGAGACCAAAATTTGTTCCAAAAACCAAACCAAGCTGACCTACCTTTTGTATTACTTCATTTAAAAAATATAATATTACCCTATTCATAATACAATGAATGGCAAGGTGTAAATAATCAAACGATGTAGACGCATTTGCGATTACCAAAGCTTGATGAAGATAACTGGCAAATGCATAAAAATAGCAAACTACAGGCACTTAATATGAACAGAAAGAAAAAGAAAGTGAAACAATATATCGAGAAAAATCTACCCATTCATTAGCACTTCTCACAACAGTCAATCCCCCCTCACCCCATATCATTTTTCGTACAGGAGAAAAAGAACAAAAAAACAAGAATATCAATTAATTAACTGGCAACTGGTATCGCAACCAAGGAAGTAATGAAAATGCTGTGAAATCAATTTTTTTTTAAAAAAACTCAAAACTGAATTCTTTTGGATAGATAAGCTAATCCATCTGATCATCTCACAGTAAAAAAAAAAACTAATAAAAATGAAAACAAGGTAACAAAAAAAGAAAGAAGAAGAAAAATTGCAAGAGAAACCCATCAAACGGCAAATATACAATACGAAAACAAGATCTACACAACAAAAGCCCATTTCAAATGCCATCAAAACCAAACAGAAAAACCAACCTCAAATAAATAAACAAAACCCAAAAGAAAATCAAAACCCTATCTACCACCGCTCCATTACCAAACTACGATTTCCAAACAACCAAGCCTTCAAGCAATCATCGCATGCAGGGAACTCAACCTCAATCACTCCCATAAAATAAAATAAAAAATGATTTAAAATAAAAAAATAAAACAAAAAACTCACATACCAAATGACTGGCCAGGATAACCTTTGCCCCATTCTCCATCAAGTACTTAATGGTGGGGACGGCCGCCCTAATCCTAGTATCATCAGTGATCTTCTGGTTATCATCAAGGGGAACGTTCAGATCAACCCTAACAAAGACCCTCTTCCCCTTCAAATCAGAGGGAGAGAGATCACCAACACTCTTCTTCCTCGCCATAGATTGCAGAGTAACAGTTAGAGAGAGAGAGTGAAAAAAGTCTGGGGGCGATCTAGAGAGAGAGGGGTTCTTTTGATGGTTCCGAAGTTGGGGTTGGCTTAAAGGACAGGGACCATTAAAGGGTTAAAAACCGGTATTAACTATAAAGTACATACCATGATATCATTTACTATACTGTTCTCAACGTAAATAAGATATCAATTGTTCGCTAATGAAATCAGACGGTTGTGGTTGCATTTTACTATTTTAAGTCTAGCATTGCATGCTAACCTATTATTAATGAGGTATTAAATCATCATAAGATTTGTCATGGTGCTGAGTTACTTGGATTAGAAACAAAGCTAAATAATTCCAATGGCCACTGCCCATGGTAAACCGACCACGGGAAATTCATTCTCATTTAATTAAAGTTATACTCCTGTAATCAAGGTTCTAAAAACCGGAATGACGAACCGGATCACCTTTCGGGATTTCCAATTCAGTTTGGCTTATCTTCGGATCAGCCATCCTGTCTACTAGACATTAAAAAAATTTTAAAAAAAAAAATTTGAATTTCAAATAGTTTTTATCAAACATCGATACAACAATCTTGAATTTCAAATAGTTTTTATCAAAGGATAAAGTTTACATAAGGTTGCAACCTTAAAATGTAGAATTAAAGGTGTACCTCAAAAATCTATCCTAAAAAGTTGCTTAGATATTGAAAAACCTTCTAATTGATCATTTTAACATCGAGATGTATGAAAATAATAATAATAAAAAATTTTGTGTCGGTCAGATGGTGTATCGTGATACACATTATCTAGAGTGTCCATTTTTTAGATATTCATATGTTTATAAATCTACTTGATTTAAATCATTTTTAGAGTTTACAATTTTATAATTAGATACGAAAATAAATTCTCAAACTATCCTATAAATTTTTGATATCAAGATTACATTATTATATATTTAAAGGAGCTGCGCCTTAATTAAACTATTTAAGGTTGCAACTTCATGCAAACCACACTCTTTATCAAACACGTGATATTCCACTAACAAGCATCCAAATTTCCAGGTTCCGAGATCCAAAACTTCAAACCCTCTAGAAAGTTCCCGTTACCAAACTCCTCCACTAGAGCATTATTACATATTAAGAGTGCTTCACCCAAAAAGAATGCAAAACCATTATAGGAAAATTGTCTCACGTGGGCAGGGACCGCATGACTGCATATGCAGTCCTTTAAGTGTAAAGTATCCATGTTAAAGATGAATGCAAGTAGGTAGCCCATCTAAAAATAATGGAAACTAACGGTTCAAATGTTTTTTTAATAGAACGATTATTTTTAGTTTTTAAAATTTAATTATTTTTTCATATTCATGATATTTATGTTAAAGATTATATGTCCTTAAAAATTAAGTGTAAAAATTCATCTAAAAAATAGATTTATTGATAGGCTCGCATTTCTGCATATGCGAGCTTGGCCACAGAGAAACTGGGTCCACAATTATAACTCGTGGGGTACCGTTCCGAGTCTCAAGGACTGTGGCCTCCAAGTTTTTTACTTGTTCCCACAGCTGTTTTCCTCTTTTTATTTTTATTTTTTTATTTCAATCGAAAAATATGGAGAACAGGCCATGTGGCTTGGAACAATAAGTCTCTAGTTCAACCCATTAGTCAAATATTAAAAACATGCAAAAGTATGCAATGAGACCATTTAAAATTGATATAAGATGGTCACAATTGCTATTGACTATTGGCTACATTTATTGTATTGATTAAGTTCAAAATTCAAAAGAAATTTTTTCAAACTTTACGATACATCCAAGCTATCAGATTTCACATCAAATGAGTATAAGTAATTGTGACCTTTTTGTATGAAAGATAAATAATCTCACTGTAGACAATCCCTTAAAACATTGTTCAATTCCCTGAAGAGTTGAAGAGAAGTTCAAGCATACTTGGCCACATCATATTAGGAATACTATAAACATAGGTAATAATTAGAATCAGCATTTGAAAACCTATCAATTCAGATGAAGTATCGTCTATCTGGATCAAGAATCAGCATAGGACAAACTAGATCCCAGCAAGTATCAGGAACCCGTTTGAGTCTACGCTAGATTGCAAGTTCATGCCAGAGAATCGGTAATTCTGTTATATGGACTGGTCAAATCACTTGGATCCCACGCTTTATATTTTTTTATTTTTTTATGGACCTATTCTCACCCTAAAGAATCAATAAGATCACCAATCCAAATCAATTTCTCAGATGACCGGTTCACCTAGTCGATCTGGGTTTTAAAACATTGCTTAGAACAAATGGGATGGTCAGTGTTCAATTCACTAACGAGTTGAGAAGAAGAAGTGTCATATATCTATGCTTAACTACTGGCCTTAATTAGAATTATGAGAATTATGGGCTGGACGGCTCGGTCTTTAAAAACTAGGCCAAAGCCATAATATTTGTCCTCAGGGTGGAGCTTATGCTATTTTAGCCGAGGGTGGGTTCTGGACCAAGTGCCATGGCTTGTCGGCCTAGCTTGATCTTGTTTTTTCTTATATTTGTATCTATTCATTGGTTTATTTATTTTCACTGGGCCGAGTTGAGGCACCTTGCTAAGTGCCACAGTTAGGCTTGGGCTAGGGCTTCTTTGGCTTGGTCTAGGCTTGGCCATTCCAAAGCTTGGCCAAAAGACTTGGCTCTTTTGGCCAAGCCGGCTCAACCTATTAGCAGCTATGTACAGCATGAGCTAGTATTATCCTTCTTATTAGACACAAGTGGATTTGTAGTAGGGTTGAGAATGGTCGGATCGGGTCAGGATCCACTAGGATCCAAATTCGGATTCAGAAAGTGTACATGAGATTTGGATCTGGATTCTATTGGATCCAAAATATTTAGATTTGGATCTAGATCCAGATCCAGACCCAACCAGAACCACAAAATTATGTTATATATATTTTCACATATGTAAAATAATATATAACAAAAATACTATATATATATATATATATAATAATATAAAATATTTTGATAACTTGGTCAGATCCAGATTGGATCCACTATTTGAATCCAAAATTTGGATCTCGAACCCAATTATTGGATCAATTCCCATATCGAAATGGGTCCGAAATTCCTATTCGATGCAAACCACGTAAAATCTCAGCCCTAAGTTGTAGTGTCCTAGTATTACTCTTGAATCATTATCAACACTATCATCTGCCATTAGTAGCCAACTATTATTCCTAAGATTGTTAACTAAATCACATGGGAAGAGTCGGAGTTCGCATGCAAAGAATATCCTTTCAAGGTTCCTCATGTGATAGAAATTAGAAAGGTCGCACGTCAGCCACGCATTTCTACAATCTTAATTTTTCTGCCTCTCACATGCCCCCCATGACTTCGCAAAAGCATGCGTGAGAGAGAGGGCAGTATGTTAGCTTTGCATGTTGTCAGATTCGTTTCAGTGTTTTTTTTGGTTCGGTGAGAAAAATAAAGCAATTTGGTGTTTCGGCCAATTAGGTGAAAGATTTCAGTTTTTTTTATAAAAAAAGTAATATAAAAAATTAGATATTTACGTATAAAATAATGTAAACAATTTAAAATTTTAAAAAATTTAAAAATATTTATATATATATATTTATTTATTGACTGAAGCTAGATCCGAAGCAGACAAGCAAGCCAAAGCGGACCGAATCTAATCGAAATGACAGCACCACACTTCTCTTCGCTTCGATTGAAGCAGCAGCACCATGCTTCTCTTCGCTGCGATTTATGCTTAAAATCCGAAGGCTTCAGCCTCTTCGACCAAAACAAAACGAATTTAATGACATTGAGCCTTGCATCATAAACACTGTTTTTTTTTTTTATCGTTATCATAAGTATAAACACAACGTTAGCACGTATATGTTCATATTCATTCCAAGAAGAAAGAAAAAAACAAAAGCCAAAATTATATGAAATAGTTGATTAATGAAATGATGCACTTTCCATAAGACCTAGGCTATGTGGAAACAAAATAAAGCCTCGCCTTGGATATTAAAAACTAGTACAGACCTTGTGGATCTGTGAACACTTATTTTTAGGCAGAAATCAACGGTCTAGATAATGTGGCATAAATCAACGGTCTAGATAATGTGTTATAATATAAACTACTTATAGGGCTCAAAATCCTAATTTTTTTTCCACAATCATAATAGTCCAGGTCGAGATGATCAATTTGAAAGTTTTCCAATACTAAACTATAATTTTCAGTGAGTTTTAAGATAAGGTTTTACTTAGTTTGATAGGGCTCCAATCCAATCAAAACAGTTTTCTTAATTAAATTATTAATGGAAGTGTTACATTTACACTTTTTCTATTATTTCATTAGAAATATCCAAACTACATGTACTCATGGTTGGGAGTTTTGAACAAGTGAGGGTATTTTGATCATTTAGCATCTTAAGCTACTTGAGCCAAATGATCCAACTACCGACCATTATTTTGAGTTCCACACATGAAATATGTTTTGTGCTAAAAATCTTTTACGAGTTTGGGTCTCAGAACAAGTTGGCCAAATTATCAAAATGTCTTAATGTGATCAAGGTTCCAAATAAAAAACAACGGTCTTTTACAGCATTTTCGTGTGAAAGCTGTGTCTTACAAAACTGTGGCAATTCCATGGTTGTTACGTGGAAGCGTGACCCTGTTTTGGAAGTTGTTGCTTCCAAAACAACATTAAATTACATAGATTGGGCAGGTTTGATAATAAGAAGTTAGAAGAAGGAGAAGGAACTTCTCCTGTTCTAAGTTTCGTGTTTGATAAAAAAAAAAAGGAACTTTTAACGAGAACCCCACAATATTGTTCATCTTCCTATTCTCCTGTGTAAAAAAAGTTCCGACCCAAAGGTCGAAACTTAAAATAAGAACTTGGTTGTAGACTTAACGCCTGAAACTTTTTCGTTTAGCCCCCGATAACCCTAGCCCTCTTCGTTTCCTTCTTCCCATCTTCGCCGTTGAGTACCCCTTTCTTCCCATATTCGTCGTCGAGCACTCCTCTCTTCGCAGCACGACCCCTCTTCTCTGATCTTCGAGTTCAGCCCTGAGCCAGCCCTTTGTTCGCAGCACACCACTATCTCAGGCAAACCCCTC